CCCCCCCCCCGCACGCGCACCGCTCCATCAAGCCTCTTCACCTTCACCATCCATCCACTCGCGCGCACGCATACACACACACACACACGCGCGCGCACACACACACACTCACACACACTCACACACACACATCACCTCACCTCCACCCCCCACCATGTCGGTGCAGACCATCCCAACCAAACCCTTCGAAGGCCAAAAGCCAGGCACGAGCGGTCTTCGCAAGCGCACAAAGGTCTTTTCGCAGCCTCACTACGTAGAGAACTTTATCCAAGCCACGCTGGACAGCTTTCCCAACGGTACGCCCAAATCTCTGGTGGTGGGAGGCGATGGTCGATACTTTAGCCTGCCTGCCATTCAGAGCATCATCAACGTTGCTGCTGGCAACGGCGTGCAGAAACTCATCATTGGTCAGAACGGCATCCTCAGCACCCCAGCAGTCTCTCACCTCATCCGTCTGCACAGCACCGACGGTGGCATCCTCTTGACCGCAAGCCATAATCCAGGCGGTGAGTGCGGGTGCGGGTGCGGGTGCGGGTGCGGGTGCGGGTGCGGGTGTGGGTGTGGGTGTGGGTGTGCTATGCTGTGCCATGGCATGCTCACGTGATGTTCGCCTCGCAGGACCCGAAGCGGATTTTGGCATCAAGGCCAACTTGTCGTCGGGTCAGCCTGCAGGCGAGAATGTCACCGACGCCATCTACAAGAAGACGACGACGATACAAGAGTACAAGGTGGTGCAGGGTGGCGAGGTGAGTGGATGCTGTCATCAAAGCGCATACATGCACCCACGCGCCTCAACCCACACACCCCGCTCCACATCACACGCAGGTGGACTTGTCCAAGCTTGGCCACACCAAGCACGGCAATCTGGCCATCTCTGTGGTGGACAGCGTGTCGGACTACATTCAATACCTCTCCACCATCTTTGATTTCGATTTGATCAAGCAATTCTTGCAATCCGGCTCCTTTACCGTCCGCTTCGATGCGCTGCACGGCGTCACTGGTCCCTACGGTCGCGCCCTCTTCATCGACGCTTTCGGTCTGCCAGAGAGCGCCATCCAGAACTGCGTGCCATCGCCAACTTTCAACGGCGGTCATCCCGATCCCAACCTGACCTACGCCAAGAGCCTGGTCGATGCGGTGGAAAAGGAAAACATCTCCTTTGGCGCAGCATCCGATGGCGATGGAGATCGCAACATGATCATCGGTAAGGGCGCATTCGTCAATCCTAGCGACAGCGTGGCCATCATCGCAGAGTGGGCATCCAAGGGCGTCATTCCCTACTTCAACAAGTCTGGCGGCGTCAAGGGGCTGGCCAGATCCATGCCCACATCTGGCGCGCTCGACCGCGTCGCAAAGGAGCACAATTTGCCCTTCTTTGAGGTGCCGACCGGCTGGAAGTTCTTTGGAAACCTCATGGATGCCGGCAAGTTGTCCATCTGCGGAGAAGAGAGCTTCGGCACGGGATCGGATCACATCCGCGAGAAGGACGGCTTGTGGGCCGTCGTCGGTGAGTGCTCGTAGCAGAAGCGCAGAATTCGCATGCACTGCGCTCACACCCGCGTTTGAACCCCCGCGCGCGCACGACCCGTCCGCCAGCCTGGCTGTCAATTCTTGCTGCGGCCAACAAAGAGAAGCCTGGCACATCTGTGCAGGACGTGCTGCAAGCGCACTATCAAAAGTATGGCCGCAACTTTTTCTCGCGCTACGACTATGAAGAGGTGGACAGTGCAGGAGCCAAGACGTTGATGGACGACTTGGCGGCCAAGTTTGGCGATGCGTCATTCGCAGGAAGCAAGTTGGGCGAATTTGAGGTCAAGAGTGGAGAGCTGTTTGAGTACAAGGATCCGGTGGACGGCAGCGTCAGCAAGAATCAAGGTCACATGATTACGTTTGTGGACGGCAGCAGAATCATCTTTAGATTGAGCGGGACCGGCTCAGCGGGCGCTA